GGAATCATGGTGAGTAGAAGTACGAGTTGTTATACAAATGCTCCCCTCCCTCTGGAATCATGGTGAGTAGAAGTACGAGTTGTTATACAAATGCTCCCCTCCCCGTTTTCATTTACTGAATATGGACATCTTTCTTACTCGGTGTGTTTTTTTTCGTGTTTCAGCACTCTAGACAAGATTATTGTGACGGGTTACAAGGCACTTCAACTGATTTATTTCTTTACTGTCGGTAAGGACGAGGTGAAGGCGTGGACGATTCAAGTAAGTATATAGCATAACCAAATCATTACAAACCAGTTTTTAAAGGATTGCATAATAAAGTAAACTGTACAAAGAGTTTTACAAAAACCATCCACTATGGTGACATAAAACTAACTTTCATTTGTAACACCACTTAATGGCGTTGTTACTTTGTAAATGTGTGATTTTTTTGTTTCTAATGTATAATGTTAAAATATTATCGAGTTCATAACGTTAAGGCTTGAGGTTGTAACTAAGTGGTTAGGGCGCTTGACTCGGTCTCGGATTCGAATCCCCGTTCCACCAAACATGCTCGCCCTTTCAACCGTTGTGGCATTATAATGTGATGGTAATTCCCACTCGTTGGTAAAAGAGTAGCTCAAGAGTTGGCGGCGGGTGGTGATGACTAGCTGCCTTCCCTCCAGTCTTCACTGCTAAATTAGAGACGGCTGGCACAGATAGCCCTCGTGTAGCTTTGTGCGAAATTCAAAACCAAACCTTATTGAAAAACAAAAACAAGAGGGAATCCTCAATAGCCGCGGCTGCAATTAGATCTCAAATCAGTCAAGAGCTAAAAGTTTGTACTTGGAAAAAGAAAAAACAAACTTAGAGCCATTCTGATTTCTGAATTTGAAATGAAGATAACGTTATTGAATCTGTACAGCCTTAGTTAATTAAGTATGGAGAATCTTGATTGTAGTAAATTATGGGCCTGGCATGGCCTGGTGGTTAGGGCGCTAGTCTCAGATTCGAACCCTTCACCGAACGTGCTTGTTCTTTCAGCCATGAAAGTGTTCTAATGCGACTACTCCCACTATTTCTTGGTAAAGAGTAGCCCAAGAGTGTATCTTAGTGTATCAATTCAAAATTAGGGATGGCTAGCGCAGATAGCTCATGAGTCGCTTTGCGCGAAAACAAATCAAATCAACATTGTTTTGTGACTTATTTTTACTTTGATAGTATGAGGATAAATCAAAATCGTAGTTAAAAAACTCTTAAGTTTAATTCTTGCGGGAATGTGGAGATTAGGTACAGGAATCGGGTCCATATTTTTTAGGGTGTCAGAACTATAACAGGCAGCAGTATCGGCCAAATTAAAAGTACATTGATGAAGTTCATAGCTTCGATACCAACGGAGGAGCAATAGGCCAGATTTTTATTTATTGCTATATTAACGTGTGACTTTTTAAACTTTGAATTCTTGCTGTTAATATCACTGTAAAACGCGCAGAAAAGGCGTTACAAGCAAATTGGTTTTAAATACGAGAGTTTATGTGAAACATGGCTGTTAATGTTGTGTGCCAGAACTTGGACACGGGTGGGGTCCAATGAACGGACCCGTATTGTTAAATGTACAAACTGTTTTAGAAGCCAATTTGATGATCCTGTTATGATTTGGTTACGCAGTACTGGCTTGTTGTGTTATTGGGGTGTGGCATAGCAACAAGAAACAAAATAATTAAGAAATATCTCTGACAGAAACTCGTATTTTACACCGAATTTTTGCTGTCAGTCTGGTTATTGTTGTTTGTGTTTTTTAACCTGCACCTGTGTTAGGCTCGTATGATCGTTACGTCACAAGAGCGCGAGTAGCAGTGGCGGTTCAGGGGCGGAGCGATTGAGTTCCGCGAGCCAGACATTTTTCTCTTAAAATCAACAATATTGTGTCTTGACATTCTTGATTAACGTGTGCCCCCCCCCCCCCCAAGTTATAATGCTTGCTCACAGATGTGGAGTGTTAATAAGATTTACCGAATATAAACAAATACTATAACGCGTTTATACTCTCGAATACTGTCTCATCGTCTCTGTATAGAGTTGACGTGTTGATATCTTTCATAAGAGAACCATAAATCAGTGTATACAGAGGTTCAATAACATCAGGTTGATAAGGAAATCCAACACTTTACGGTACGGTACCTACAAGATTTGGTGCACTTCTTTCTCTGGTGTTATGGAAACTTCTTTCACACTTGTTTGTTTGTTTGTTCGCACAAGGTTACACAAAGCGGCTGCCTATTCGTTGCCTACCCTAAGTTCGAACTGATAGGCTAGAGGGAAGGCATCTCGTCTTCCAGTTCTTGGGCTACCCATGTCTAATCGAATAATCAGGTCTGACCGTCGTTCTTATAGAGGAACTCGTGATACCGAAGTGCGTTTTCTCTGCAACAGGACGTAAACCATAAACCCTCGGATTCACAATCCGGGCACCCTAACTATAAGGTCAGGACCTGCACCACACGTATTAATTAAATACAGATGGATATTTATAAATTGTTTACGGGTGAAGCTGGTTCACGAATACTTCAAAACTCGACTCGCTCAAATGAAGTTTACAG